TATAGATCTGCTGGCTGGGGAAGGGGTCAGTGAACACCTCTTCATTTTGTGATGGATTTATCTTGCCACCCCTAGCTCATTCTCCCTCTTTTCTCTCCTCTCTCTCCCTAGGTTGGGTGTCCTTATGTTGGCTGTGGGGAGTCCTTTGCTGATCACAGCACCCTACATGCACAGGTGAGCCAGTCTCTATAATCCCCCCTCAGTTTTGTTAGGGGGACAAGTTTGGAGTTCTCAGTAATTAAACTCTAATTCCCTGTCATCCTCAAAGCTCAGACAACATTTCAGATAGTTACTGTGGTGCTTGGTTTCCAAAGTTCATGGCAGTTGCAAGTAAGCTTATGATTCTCATTTTTCTCTCCATTTTGGCGTTTAGGCCAAAAAACACAACCTGACGGTGAACCTGACCACATTCCGGGTGTGGTGTTATGCCTGTGAGAGAGAGGTATTCTTGGACCAGAGGCTGGCAACAAATGCTTCCTCCCCACCGTCAAAGTTTAGTGAACAGGTGAGTCTTTGAGACCTTAAGTTGGGAGAGGGCTGATCAGTGGGATGGAGCACTTAGCAAAGGGCTTGATCACTTCTGCAGATGACTAGTCAAGAAGTTTCCATCATTGTCCAGGCCTAATTGCAGTATGAGCTCTTGTGCTGAAGGTGGCCACTTCCACTCAAAATGAAGAATCACCTTACATTTACACTGTGCTTTCAATCCAGGGGATTCCAGAGTACTTTCAAATCTGTTTATATATCTAATTGGTCTGGCTTTGGCCACTTCTGAAGGGAAATTACATCTGGAGTGAACTGCAAGAGTTGATGTGTCTTTACTCGTATCATATCTCTCATCAAAGCTTTAAATACCATACTAAAAGCATGGGTGTAAGCATGCTGACTACAGACATCATTGACTGTCATAGAGGCCACTCATGACATCTCTTGAAAGCAGTAAGGGTACTTCTTACCCTGGTTAACTGTATTGTTGCAGGAAAGCAGAGGGATGTGACTGGGATGTATTATCAGTTCCTTGGTTACTGGTGCCCTCTCCAAGGAGCTGGCTGAGTGGAAGTACAGAGACAGTGTGTCATCTTGTACAGCAGACTTACCATTAATGCCTCTTTTTTCTGTCTTTCATCCAGGATTCTCCATTGCCTGCTCACCCTCTGAAGGCTGTTCCAATTGCAGTAGCTGATGAAGGAGAATCTGAATCGGAGGATGATGATCTGAAACCAAGAGGTAAATCATACTGATGTGTGCAGTCAGTTACAGGTGCATCTCTGGAGTCTTTCTGACCCATATCTGGAGAACTTTGGTGGGCTCAGGAGGACTGGGATGCTTTGCTTATCTGTGAGGGACAGGCTGGGTTCCCATGCATTTTGTAAATGCACAATGTGATGCTTTTAAAAAGCACTGCTCCTTTCTGAGTGGTGTCTGTCTTGCATGTTCTTTAGGCCTTACGGGAATGAAGAACCTGGGGAACTCCTGCTACATGAATGCAGCACTTCAGGCCCTCTCTAACTGGTAGGCAACAGGACCAATCTGCAGTGATCGTTCCTTGAATACTCACTAAAATAGTGGCAATTCCCACTGGAGACCTCCTTCAGGAATGATGTGTGTAGCTCAGATGCAGAGCAGAGAGAGGGAGAGAATTACAGTATGGTTAAGGCATAAAAACTTGTAGAGTAGGCAGCTAGGTCAGTCAGTGGACTTGCTGTGGGCATATTTTGTTAGGCAAGTGTTGGAAATAAGTCTTTGGTTTTACTGTGCTATTTAAAAAAACATGAATGCACATGCACAGAGGCATTTATATTTTTCCTCCCAAGTAAGTGACCTTGACAACCAAGGAGGTGTTAGCTAGGTTAGTCTGATGTCAGGCACAAGGTAGGACAGGGTGCTACCTTAAAGATTAACCAGCTAGTCACTAAGGTGACTAACCAGTTAGTCTGTAATGGATTTATTACCTGAGATTAGCTAGTTAATTTTTAAAGGTGCCACCCTGCCCTACCATCTTACCTTCATCCAAAGTGATCTTCAGCATCCAATTTCCGTTGACTTAGTTCATTCTCTTTCATCCTGTAGCCCTCCTCTCACGCAGTTTTTTCTGGAGTGTGGCGGGCTGGTACGCACAGACAAGAAACCAGCACTATGCAAAAGCTACCAGAAATTGGTCTCTGAGGTGTGGCACAAGAAGCGGTGAGTGATGCCTCCCCAGTCCGAGGGGAAGCTGTAGAGGCATTCATATTTCAGTTATGAATATAGTACCAATAACTCAAGAAAACATTCAAACTTTGCTGATAACTTGAGATGGTGACGTGTAAGCCTGTGTTATAGTAACGTGTGTGATAACTCTTGTCCCTTGCCTTGCCCTGCATATAATGATCAGTAAATTTTATGTTGAGGAGCAGGATCCAGAAACCTCTGAAATTCATTATGCTGACATCAACCAAAGAGTGCACATATCTAATTGGTGTTGAGTATTTAAGCATCACTTGCTAATAAGCAAAAAAGAAGGTATTGGGGCAGGGGGAGACACTGGCTTTAAGAAGTGAGTTGTGGAGTTATGGGAGTGGTTTTTAGCAGTGCCCTGCATTTTCATTGTAATTCTTTTAACCGTCTCGTCTTGTGGCAACCCAAGGTGGAAATAGCCGTGCTGCTTGAGGTGGATAGGTCTGCCCAGGGAAGCCCTTGTCACTTGAGAGACTTTTAAAAGTCACTGTAACGTGAGTGACTGTGCTGTAGGGGGCTGTGTCCACAGGTAGGGGGCTAAGCTGTTATTACTTACTGTCTCTTAATTCTTATGGCTTAGCTAACAGATAACATAAATTCACAGTTTTTGCAGCTACAGAGTTGTACTTCTGTTCGCTTTACCTGCTTACCACTCTGCATTTTGTTGCTTATCCACTCTCTGTTGCAAAATTCAGCTCTAGACCCGACGGGTGAACTAATACCTTGTTGGTTACATTTGAAATAGCCCAAGCTACGTGGTGCCAAGCAGCCTGTCTCATGGAATTAAACTGATCAACCCCATGTTCCGCGGCTATGCTCAGCAGGTGGGTCATCCAACATGTGTTTTAGTTAGTCAGCTTGGATGTTTGAATAGAACTCAACTGTACCCAAAGTTACCTGTTTACATGTCTTTTTAAAAACTTTTGATGTGTGATTGATTAGAAAATGTACAACCAGAGGTGGCAGCAGATAATAGAGTTAAGATGCGAGTCTGATGGCAAATCAAAATATAGATTCAAAAAATACTGATTACAGAAAGGGCTCTTATTTCTTTCCTTGATGCAAAGTGGGATTGCAGATTCATAGCTGCAAAGAAATAAAGTTGAAGGAGTGAAATGGGAGCATGTTATGATCTTATAAACTGTTCCCTCCATAATATAATATGCAGGACTTCATAATTAGCTGTCAGGGCATCAGGTGGCTTTTTGGCAGGTGCCTTTGAAACCCACATCAGCAAGTCTCCTTTTGCCTCTTTGCTTGTGCATAGGAGTCCTGTACATTGGCAGATTTGTCTATGTTTTCTGGTTCTTATCTCCGGTAATAATACTGGATTTTAACGTCATGCTTAAGGGATTATTGTGAGATTAGCAATTGTGAAAATTACTTTCTCAGCATAGAGTTCACTTTTCTTTGCAGTCCACTGTCTTTAATTATCTTTCTCCTGCACTTTCACCTCTTGTCAGTACTAATATCCCAACAGCCAAGGTAGTGGTCTAAATTATTCCAGAGCAGCTGTCCGCTTTGACTATTCTGAGTCCTCCAGAAGCTCGTGGGACAAGCAGAAGTTGAAACAATTCAGCTGCAAATTGGGACTCTAATCCTGAGGAATTAGAGCAGCCTGCTGTACAGACAGGATCCTTCTGCATATCTCCAAAGTGCCATCTGCTCAGCATAGTCAGGCCCCCTCATATTCTCCCTGTGGCTAACTTTTATGGGCAGTGGTAAACTAAATGAACCCTGTAGTAGTTCCTTTCTCTTTTTTTCCTCCTTGGATGAGCAGTAAATAAAGTGGCATTGCTCCTGGTTTTCAGGATACCCAGGAATTCCTACGCTGCCTGATGGACCAGCTTCATGAAGAGCTAAAGGAACCAATAGTTGCTGAGACAAGAGACTTAGACACAAACAACATAGATGACAAACGGGAGGGTGACCGCAGCCCTTCAGAGGATGAGTTCCTCTCCTGTGACTCCAGCAGTGACAGGGGTGAGGGAGATGGGCAAGGCAGGATGGGGGGCATGAACAGCTCCCTGGCAGAGACAGAACTGCTGATCCAGGATGAGGCTGGCAGAGGGATCTCTGAGAAAGAAAGGATGAAGGACAGGAAATTCTCTTGCGGACATCGGCGGACCAACTCAGAACAAGTGGATGAGGATGCAGATGTTGATACTACCATGATGCCAGTTGATGACAGAGCTTCCCCTGAGTCGCTCCCCGCACCCCGTCCTGCCAGCCCGTGTAGGACACCAGGTATGAATATAGGTTCTCTACTGCACCATGTAAGAAAACAGTGCCATCTGTCTATTCTGGGCCATGCTTACTGTGGGAATGCCAAACAGGCATGTTATGTACCATTTCTGTTCCTCGCTTCAAAGGTCTCTGCTGCTGGGATAGGTAAATTTCCTCCATCCCATCTTGCACCACTTCTATTATTGTGACTCATTTCTAGCACAACAGGGCAACTGAGGTCAACTGGGGATGCCTACGGCCAGTTCGTATAGTTGCACATTCTGTCTCGGACAATCTCCTGGAGTAATGTGCTGTGCTAAGACTAAAGGGATGGCAGCTGCTTTTGCAGCATAGCTGGAATTTAAGGGGCTGTGTTCCAAGGTACAGTTAAGTTCTTCTTGCTCTCCTACACAGCTATGACTCCTCCTGAGGATGAGGTAACCAACAGCCCCATGAGGACCCTCACTGGGCCAGACTAAGAAATGCCCATAGACTCTTATGGGATTGTTTGATCCATCCAGATGAAACCAGTATGTTTTCAAGGTGGTTGGGTGACTTAAACCTGCATTTCAGGCCTTCAATATCATTGGATATTGGAAGCCTTTATCTATATCTGCTAACTGCAAGTAACTTCTTGTTTGGGAACAGAACTAGATGTGACTTATATCCCCTTTCTGTCTGACAGCTTGATTGTGAAAGACTTCATGCTAACATTCAGATATAGATGTTAGGTCAAGACTGATCTGGGACTAGTTGCGTATGTGCCACATGGAGTCTCCCTGCTGTGAACTCTTCCTTTCTTTCCCCTTGCAGAGCCAGATAATGATGCCTACGTGCGCTGCTCCTCTCGCCCCTGCAGTCCAGTTCACCAGGAGATGCACTCCAAACTGTCCAGCAGCCCCCCTCGCTCTAGTCCTGCAAGACTCGGACCCTCCTATGTGCTTAAGAAAGGTAGAGTGTGTGGGAAGTCATGTGTGGAGGCAGAGGGCGAAGTATGAAGGATGTGTGGAGAGTGAGGTGCAGAAGCCGTCATGTTCTCTAGTAACCACAACAAGAAATGTAAGATTTTGTGTTGGTGCATTCTAAAATAGCACTAAGAAATGAATGGTGTGAGTCTCATCACAACTGAGGATATAGGGCAGAATCCAGTCCAATCCAATCCACTTATCTCACCAGCAGTTGTATAAGGCAGAGGTCAGTTTTCACCAATTAGCCCTGGTGAGTTCTTTCACCTGCTCAGGCTGTAAGGGCACTTAGTCTTCTAGGTCCTTTCACCTGGCGGTTGCCAGAACAAGACCTGTTTGGGGAGCTTATTTGACACTCAGAACATGGCTAAGGCAAGTCCTCTGCTGGTTGGGTGTTCATTGGTAATTTGCCTGCTCCAAGATGCTGATGATCTTTATCTTTCCGACCTGTCCACTCTGACTGTCTGGTGCAGGCATGCACATTGGAAGCTATTTAACTTCCCATGGAGAGATATGTTGCACTTCCATGATTCTGATCCATACCTAGTACCCTGCTACTAAAAAATCACTGCCCATGGTGTCCAGTTTTCGTAGTGGAGCAAGCTTCCAAAAAACCGGTTTTTGACTTGCATTGCTTTATCATAAATGCAGTCACTGGAGTTACAGAAGAGGCAGCCTAGGTAAGTAACATCAGCAACAATCACTGCTGTTCCTTCTAGAGCAATGGAATTATCCAAGGTCAGATTGCCTTTCCTGACCTTTGATTTTGATTTGTAAAGCTTAGAACAATACAGATTACTTCTTTAGCTGTTCCAGGTAAAGAGGAGACAAGACAGATATCACTAGCAAAGTCCAGATCTCCAAACATTCTCTGCTTGAAGTTTCTATGCCTATACTTAGGACACAATAGCACTTATAATATATGCACCCATCAGAGTAAAGATGTAAATCGCTTATATACAGGTCTTCATTTCCCCTATCCATTCTAGCAAAATGCTATATGACTCATCAGAGTAAGGAACAGTATTCACATCTCTTCATGGGAAAGTGGAGACCTGTAAGCACTTGGCCTTTAGTCTCATTCTCGTTCTTAACCACAGAGGTGCGGCAAGGGACTGCAGAGCTGCATTACCATGGAAGACTTCCTGATTGTTAACTGGGTGTCATCCAAACATACTGTGGGGTTAAATATCAGTCTGGTGGTGGGAGCATTGGGAGGCTGCAAAACTGAGCCCCGGTACCTGCTGCTAAACCTGCCTCTTCATTCCAAGGAAGTCACAAAGGCGGATCTGTTGTCCTTTGCACAGTCCGTGAATACAATGGCTTGTGCTTGCACCACCAGCCCTGCAGCTGTTCAATAATCTAATTCTTGCCAAGCTGCACTGACCTCAGCTGAGGGGTCAGTGCATGGGTGCAGATGTCTGAGCCCAATGAAAGCACTCTGTATAAGTCAAGGGGGGTTGTTTTAAACAAAATGACTGTGTTCAGCCAGACCTTAGCTTCTGGGATTCAGACCCTAGTGGGTAATGCATGGGGAAGGACTGGATGTTTGCCAAAGGGAAAAGCACAAAATCAGCCATGGAAGGGAAAAAAAAAAACTGAAAAGCTTTGAAGCAACTCTTATGGAGCTTGAAGAAGTGTTGGAAAGTACATGACTAGCTGGTGTCCTCCTGAAGGAGGATGGGAAATGGAAGACCACTACCACCACCAGCAGCACAATTCCCTCTGGGAACCTGCTTATGTTTGAATTGCCTCAGATGGTTACGTTCCACCTCCTGGTACAGTCTGAAGCTGGTTTATTCTTAGTGTCAGCTTAAGATTGGCACCACTGACCTAGTCATGCAGGCTGCCTGTAAGCCTGTACAAATACACATTTGTCTTGTGAAAGACTTGCCCCTCACTTGATTGCATAGCTTTGTTGAGACTGTGCGAGAGAGCTGCCAGGTGATGAGGCTTTTGTGTGTCTTTTCAGCCCAGATGCAGGCTTCTGGGAAAAAGAAGAAAGAGCTTCGTTATCGTAGTGTTATTTCTGATATCTTTGATGGCTCCATTCTCAGCCTGGTGCAATGCCTCACCTGTGACAGAGTGAGTCTCTTGGCTGCCATTAATCAAATAATGAAACAGCAGGGTCTGTTTTCTTCAAACGCTGTACTTGGGGAAACAGAGATGTTCTTCCCAAATGCTCTGAAGTTGCTATGACTCTACTCAATTGATTATGAAACGTGCATAGAAATATTCTGGATCTCTATTGGTTTACATGCATTACAGTATCTTGGTCCAGTGTAAATAGGTCTCTTAGCAACATTACATGTCTCCAACATTGGAGCTGGCCATAGCCAGATGTGAACAAGATAGGGGATCAATGAAGGACAGGATTAAAGGTAGAGCTTGGGGTCCTTCCTGTGCAGAACCAGATTCCACAGCCGCAGGGAACATCAAGAGGGCACAGGGTCACTTGCCAGTGGCCAAACCTCTGTTGCCCAGTTTCTGAATGTGGACCAGTCCTAGCATAGATTGGACAAAATCAATTTTGGTGTGGCTGCTGAAAACATGATGGGGGCTTCCTGTCAATGATGATGAGAATTGATTTACGGAAACAACCTCTTCTCAGCCATGATTTAGTTTCTTAGCTGAGACAGGGCTGTGCTAAAAGTTCAGGGTTATACATCTTCATTCAATGCACCAAAACCCTGATTTCCCCCTTTTGTGGGTCTTCAGGTGTCCACAACAGTGGAGACGTTCCAGGACCTGTCACTCCCGATTCCTGGGAAGGAAGACTTAGCTAAACTGCACTCTGCCATTTACCAGAATGTGCCAGCAAAGACAGGGGCATGCGGGGACAATTATGCCTCACAAGGCTGGATTGCCTTCATCATGGAGTACATCAGGAGGTGTGTTTCCCTGGGCTCACCCTGCATAGTCCCTCTTTCCTCAGTTTGCTCCCAAGGTTATTAGAAGAGTAATCTCATTGAGTCTGGAGACAACCAGGGATACTGGATGTAACCATGCACAGATTTACAGTTCAGGCACTACATATACATAAGATGGGTAAAACACTAGATTCAGGACCATAAACCTTATTTATTGTTGCCCTAAACTCCCTCCTTACTTAGTCCACCAAAACATATTTGTTTCATTTGCTTTAAAAAATTAACTGGGATCAAGGTTAATTGTAAAGTGTCCTGTGACCCTGGGTTGAAGGACTTGGAGCTCTCACTTTTCTTGCTATTAATTCTTCCTTGTAAGTCTGTTCTGGTAGGCCTTTTAATGATGATGCAGCATGATCATAACCCTCCCAGTAGAAGCTTCTATCCAGAACCTGTTCGTACTGCTTTCTTTACCTAGGAAGTCTCTTGTGTAGTCAGCTTCTGCCCCCACTTGGTCCCTGCCTTGCTTTGACACCCTAATCAAGGCTGAAATAATCCCAGCCATTCCTGTCCTGGGAGATATCAGTACCAGTTCTAAGAAGCCATGTTTTCCCACGGTGCCCTACTTATTTCCTAAGCTGGTTTTCTAGCCTTAAGTTATGTAAAAGAGTAAACCATTTGGGGATTTTAGAAGCTGGGGCATCTGCCACTTCCTCAATAATGTCCAGATTCTCTTCTGATGTGCCTGCAGGTTTGTGGCATCCTGTATCCCCAGCTGGTTCTGGGGTCCTGTTGTCACACTGGAAGACTGTCTTGCTGCTTTTTTTGCTGCGGATGAGTTGAAGGGTGAGTTTGGGGGAGGGCTGGTGTGAGATGTCTTCTCTCTGAGCTCCTGCTGAGACTAAAGATGGAGAAAACTGTGCCAAGAATTCTCTAGGAATGTCTAGCTGGGTGTTTGAATTAGCACTCTTGAATCAGCAACACTGGGACTCCTCAAGTCAGCTTTCCTCTTCCATGTTTGCACTTATGAAGGCTGATGGGGGAGTTTCCCTTGTGCCTCTGTTATTGTTGCTAGGCTAAGGCTTCACCTGGCTTCTCCAGACATGGTGAGAATGTCTCCTTATTCCTGCTCTTGGTAATCTTGTGGTGCTTCTGTCTTCTTTACAGGGGACAACATGTACAGCTGTGAACGGTGTAAAAAGTAAGTTTGTCATCCATGTCGCTCTGTCTTTCCACTGACCTCATTTCTGCACTTAAGCTATCCCATTGTTAGCTGTACCATTGTTCTCCACACCTGCTGTTTGAATACTTCCCTTTATTCTCAGCCTCTTAAGCTTTGAACTGTCCTTTGCTGGAATTCTAGGAAAGAGACCATGAGAGCCCTGATTAGGGGTCACTGAAGACCCTGAACTTAGTGGGAGGAAAAGTGGTGGCTGTGGTAAGAGGTAAAGGAAGGGG